AACCGATGAAGGGGGAAATCGCGCCGCCACCAGGCGGAGGAGAACAGGCCGTGAAAACGTTCCACTGCCCACCGTGGAGTGACTACGAGGAGTTCAAGACTCTGGAGAAGCCCGAGGGCGACGAATGGACGACGGCCGAGAGTCGCAATCATTCCCATGTTCCGCAGCACCACTTGGGGTATCAATCCAGTTGTGATTGCGTAAATGTCGAGCTCAGCGACCACCCGCTCTTCCGTGCAAAGTTGTTCCGCACTGTTGCGAAGGATTTTGGCGCGCCCAGAAACTGCGCCGATGAGGGGGGGGGGGGGGGGGGGGGGGGGCAGAGTTCCCGAAGATCGAAGGTCGGGTCAAGACCGAGGACGTCGATTGCAGCTCGAGCAGCTCCCAGGTCGCGGCGAATTTTAGCACTGCGATGAGTGCTGATCCGCGGGCGCCGTGCGAGGTTTAGCGGCGGGGTGTGGGGAGGGGGGGGGGGGGGGGGGGTAGGGGGGGGGGGGGTGGGGGGGGGGGAGGGGGGGGGGGCGGGCCTGCGAAAGAGATGCGCGGGGCAATCTCGCGCGCGCGCTCGCGCGCTTGCCCCCGACAGCCATTTCGGCTTGTCTCAGGCGAGGAAGAACCCTTTGTTTCTTTTCAGCGGGGCCCCGCGGGCGATCTGCAGGATGGGGGCGGAGGTCGAGGTCGGAGGGTGGGTGGGGGGTCGAGGGCGCGTCGAGCGTGGATAGGGAAGTCGGGGCGGGCGAGGGGGCGAACGGGCGCGGGCCGAGGGGGGCGCGGGGGAAGATGATGGGAAATACAGGGGGGTGGGAAAGAGGGCGGAGGAATGGCGAGGGGCGGAGGGCACTGGAGAGGAGAAGCGCAGAAGGAGGAGCGGACATGGGGGGGGCGCGGAGGAACGCCAGAGGAGGCGGCAGGATCATGGAGGATTTGAGTGGACACGGACGCAAAGGGGAACAGAGGAACGGGGGGGGATAGAATGCGGAGGACCAGACGGGGCGGCGGAGCAGTGGGGGGGGGCGGAGGAGAGGGGCGGGGCAGGGCCTAAGAGTGGACTTCGCTTGCCGAACTTGAACTTGTCAACTCCACTGCTCGCGCAATCATTCCTCCCGCCCACCCGCAATGTGGTGTGCAAAACCCACGCAGGGGCGATTGCGATGAGTGCTGGGCGTTGGCTGGTGCATCTCTGCGGCCGCGCTAGCCCGCGCATGCTCACGCGCGCAGCGGCCGGCTAGTTTGGCGCGACCGACGCGAACGCGGCGGCGCTGACCGCTCGACACATCCCAGCGGGCACACTTCAGTCCGAGTCGGCGACTCGGGCGGGCGCGGTATCATGGCAACGTCGACAACGGTAGACACGATGATGATAATAGCGATGTTGGCGACGATGCTGACAGCGACGACGGGGCAGCCAGTGACGGCGCCGATGCGGATCACGCCGACGACGATGACGGCGTCTTTGCGTCGGTGATGAAGGTTTTGGAAGGAATTCGAAATGCGCGCGCGGCAGACGCGCGAGAGTGGCTCGCATGGTATTATTTGACTCGGATCGTGCCACCCCAGCACGCGTGCGAGGGCGTTCTAACGATTTCAACATGCGCGCGCGGTGCCCGTTAGGTCGCATTCTACGCACATAATGAAGCACGTATGGTTCTATTAAGGGTTCCGAAGAGCGTGTGCGGGTTTTTGTTAACGATCCGTGTTGCGAAACTATGTTTTTCTTTGCTTATTTTAACAATCGTTTGGGCGCTCGATTTTGAAGTCCCTCCTGCACCGAAGGCTTTTGGAGGATGTCGGCATGAACGCGACGACGCACGCGTGCGCACTTTGCCCCGTTTGTTTTGCAAGGGATTCTTGAAAACTCATGATTCTGAATAAACGAGTGCGCGCATAGTTTTTTCCTATGGGAACCGAAAAGGTACCGGTATCAGCCTGGCTGGGATAGTATGAACTCAAAAGTAGGACCGACATTGGATCATAATCATATGTGTTTTGCGTAGGTTCCCGGGGAATCGAGAAGTCCGGGGGGGAAACTGGCAGAACTTATGTCCTTTCAGAAAGGAGAATAGAGTGGGTATAATCGGGATGAGTCCGAGGAGTGGGGTGGAGTGCGGAGGAGAGGAGAGAGTAGGGTGAATTCGGTCGGGGATGAGCGGGTATGCATAGGAAGGGTGAGTGGGGCGAAAAGGAATGTGAAGGACATCGAGGGTGCGAGAAGTGGAGAGGAGCGGACCGACATGGGAAAGGGCGGATAAATGCGCGCAAGCATTTGAACAGGGAGACGCGGGGACTTGCGGGAACGCTTTGGCAAGAGGGCGGAGGAGGTCAGAGGGAGCATGGTGGATTGGGGGGGATGGGGGAGTAGACTGGAAGGGAGGGAAGTAGGCTGAGAAGTAGAGTAGACTGGGGGAGGAGGCTGGGAGAGTAGACTGGGGGAGGAGGCTGGGAGAGTAGACTGGGGGAGGAGGCTGGGAAGGGAAGGTGTAGACTGGGGGAGGAGGCTAGG